TGACACCGGAAGACGACGAGATGAGCGTGTTGGACGACAAGATCTTGGACCCAAGTTCCGAAGACTTTTCCAACCGCCGCGCCTCCTACGATGCCCCACCCGCCTACTCACCACATCGCGATTCCGTCTGGTCCAACTACTCAAATACCTCCGGCCAGTCACAGTCAAATTCGCATTCCCAGATCGGACACGCCATGTTGAACTCAACGGGTGCCTCGTTCATGCCCGTCGACGGTCCGCAATTAGCGTCCTATCCGCAGGCATCGTGGTCAATTCCGCGCACAGATTCAGGCTCATGCACCCCGACCGTGAACTATGATAACTATACCTCCAATGGAGACCAGAGTGCTATCACTCCTTTCTCTGGCGGTGCGGTTGGACCCGTCTCCGCTATGCCCGGAACCTCCATGTCGTACCGTGGTAGCATGGCGTTTGCGACCCCCGGAAGCGTCGCCATGTCACCGCAATCAAGCCAGGGCTGGATGCCGGCGCCAATGGACATGGCCGAGGCAGAGATGCACTTAAGGAAGAGTCCAAACTACCGGGTTGCTTTGCCGGCGCATCGGGGGGATGGTGTTAGGAAGAGGAATTCTCGCATTCCAATCTCTCCCGAACTGACTTTGGACAATATCGATGAGGCAATCAGGAATTGCACTGATGAGGAGGAGAAAAAGAACCTCAAGGCGATAAAACGACTACTGCGGAATCGTTGTGCAGCGTAAGTTGAGAACCATGCGTTGAGTGGGATTAAATGCTAACCGTGTTGCAATAGGCTGCATTCTCGGCAACGCAAGAAAAAAGAAGCCGAAGGTCACGTCGAGAAGATCAAGGAACTGGAAGCAACGATCAGCGAACTGAACGCAAGGATCAAGCAACTAGACGCAATGATCGAGGCACTCAAAGAGGAAGTCCAGAACATGCAAAGGGCAAGGGAAAATCTGGAGTACGAGAATCGCCAGTTGATTGACTACAACATGCAGTTGGCAGAGCACATCCAACGTCAGGACATCGAGAAAGACGAAATTTTCATCACCCACACGCGAGAGACAGCCGATCTCGTGAAAAGGAACAGACACCTGGAGGAGAGAATTAAACAGCTTGAGCACGGCGCCCAACTCGGTCAAGAGAGCCGGCCCGGCGACTTCACCAGCTTCGAGAACCCCACCATGGAAAATCCCTCATGGGACGGCTTCTCAATGGCTGGACCTCCATTACAACCAGATAGTATCCAAACTCCCCATCCTCAGGCTAACCAGCAGGTCAAGGTCCCGGAGAAATCCAACAACGGATCAGACCTGCCGGTCAACTGGAATGCCTTCTGCATGTTCCTGCTTCTCGGTGCCTTCTGCGCCTCAAACAGTACTTCCCTACTGGGCCGCTCCCTGCCCCAACTCTCCGAAGAGTACCGGGCGGAGTCAGCCAACGTGCTAAAAGCAGTGCTAGCCTCGTCGTCCGGCCACGAGGTAACCCACCAACACTCCATCAACCACGGGACAACAACCGGACCTTCACCGGCAACAATCAGCGGCATAGAGATGGCGCAGATGAGCTCTGCGCAATCCATGCCATCAAATCTAGACCAGCTGCATAACACGCTCGTGATGCCGACAGAGGAGCAGGAGCGCGACCAGGCTTTCTCGATGAACGTGGACCAGTACAACTCCCTGACCACGTTCGAGGATCACGGGGACTTCAAATCACAGAAGCCATCTACTTTGCAGCAGGCGTTTGCTGCGATGCGCGATACCGCCGCGCAGCGGACTCGCATGCACTCCGCTCTGTCTTCGGATGTGCATTCCCGGTCGTTGATGTGGGACTGTGTGCCTGAGAAGGTTGTTCAGGACTTCCAACGTATGGTGAATAGTCATGATTACGATACTTCTGTCAAGGTGGAGGGCATTTTCTATCCTTGATGGCTTCCTTTCGTGATTGGTCTTGAGATTTCGACACGACCGTATTTCGTGTTATTCTTTTCTTCTACCTTTCTTGCACTTCTTGTGACATCCTTCTTGGGAGTGTTGCTTGGTCTCCCCCTTCTCTTCTCCCTTTTTTTCTTTTTTCTTTTTCTTTTTTTTTTTTTTTTTTTTTCAAAATACGGGCTAGCAATGGCCTTTGAAATTCTAGCGTGCAACGATAGATCACGCAACACTTTTTATTCCTTATTTGTGTATCTTTTTTGATATAACTTTCAATGTCTTGTTCTTTTTTTTTCAGTTTGGTCCCAGGGTCAGGTTCACTCGGGTACAGGGCTTTGTTCAGCGATTTGATTATTTTAGCGATTGGCTTCTGAGCGTGTTTCTGTTTCTTGTTTTGACGATGGGAGGGGAATTATATTATACGAACGACAGGGTGGAAACCTGAATTATGAGTTTATGTGTACAAACCTGGCCTCCTCTCTCCAAGCCAGGACGAGGTCTTGGGCATGGGATACGAGAAACGAAACGAGTTATGAAGAAACCTTGCATGTGAGGATTGCTTTCAACTATGTTTATTATGACTTGTTTTATGTTTATATTTACTATTTTGCGATCTGGGCTAGGACAGTGTCAGGCATTTGGGATGGGATGGGATGGTCTCGTGCTTTCGGGCTGGATGAACTTGCTTTTCATGTTTTCAAATGACTTTTGATCCTGAGCTCTTCGGCCCTGGAAAGTCAAGTCTAGACTCCGGACTTAACTTGCAAGGTTGTCTTAGAATGAGCAATTTGCGCTGCACAAATGGCTTGCTGCAACGCCCACGAATGTGACGAAGAGATGGCAATGTGATATCTCACCACTGACATGAACTGCCCTTGCGATGTAATTTCTATTATTTAATCTACTATTGGCTCGATTCTAGCCCATTCAGCACATTCTTTCGAAGTTTGACAACGGAAGTATGTCTGCGGATCGGAGATATCAGGTCAGTATGTTGATATTACCTACTATCCGCACTTGTGAATATCCATATGCGATGATGAAATAACATTTAAGTTCAAGCTACTATAAACCACCTGCTCTTTTAAGTAACATCTCCTCGATAAAAAAAAGCGTGATGTGGTTTCGACCCACGCGCAATCTTAGTTGGGGACCTTGGGGGCAACTCATGGTGCTGACACCTATTATAACGGGATTTGGCCCACTGACAAGACTTGTGTAAAATGCTTGCATCTCCCCAAGCTTTGACAAGAAACTCTCCGAGGCTTGGCCTTTTAATAATGTGTGTAGGGTTATATTCACTAGGTATATAGTGGTCTGAAGGCCACTAAGTAACTGTAAAAAAATACTAGTTGTCAGGCCAGTTCCTGTTGGCTCGGCAAGTGGAATGATGGAAAGGGTATGGTATTCCTCATGCAGAGACTATTTCTTGTCCCTTCTACTATTTAGGGGGAGGCGTTCTTGTACCTTGTTCCTGATCTGTGTACGTCACTCTGATAATTCCATCCGGCTTCCGAGTACTGCTTAATACATAAGAATGATCATATGCTTGATCCTCGGTAAGCAACAAAGGACTCTGGGGAACAAAGAAGTTAAGTATACATCATGACCCTTGGTCCCATCTCTCAAAGTCTCCTTTCCTTTACAGGGATATTATAAGTGTGTGCAGTAAGAGTAAGAGAGCCGATCTCTCTATTTTTAACAGGCTAGATAGCTAATAAGATCCTACCCTCTTACCCTATTAAATCTCTAGAGCTTTGAGAGCCAATTAGTGGCATGGTGGGTGGTTGAAGAAGTAGAAACACAGAGACTTGAACTCCATCAATTGGACCCCTATATTACGCAGTACATGGTGTGCTGACATGACTGTTCTACTCGCTTGTGCGCGTCATGACGTTCCAAGGTTCCAAGGTTAGTGAGTAAGTATATGTAGTAATACCCACACGCCGCAAATTTCCCTTTCTCTACAAATCTGAAATCAAATATCACTATGAGTGATATTATCGATTTTGTTTCTCCAAATGCCCCAGACATGCCTAGCAAAGAGCAAGTTAAAATGCTTTGCACTAAACAAGGTCAAGGTAGGAGGGACAATCATTTCATCCACGTCCATAATGGCGAAAATCTTTTCATCAAATATGAGGTCCCTCGTTGCGAATGAAAAAATCAACAATTTTTGTTTGATCGGATTAGGGCAAGCGCCGCTATTCGTATTCCTGAAATTTATGCCGTGTTCGGCGTATCAGATAGACTATATCTGATTATGGAATTCATTCAAACCGACCATATTGCATCTGATATACAGAGAGCAAGAGCTATTTCTGATCTTGTTCCTATCGAGGCCCCCCTTGATATAGCACCGGGTCCCGTCGGCCGGGGGCGTATCCATGTGAGAATCTTTTGGGATGATCAGATATCGGACGTTGACTACCCTTCTATCCAGGATCTAGAGGGTCATCTTAATCGTGTTTATATCCCTAAGCTTTAAGATAAAATAGTTTAGAACTAACGCGATTTATCTAGGTTTTGAAAAAACTGATCGAAATCGATTCCTTCGTCGCCTACCCAACACAATGGCTTGACGTCCGGCTAAGGTTACTCCCGGCTGCGCATTTGATATTCAAGGAGCATAGAAACACTAAGTCCTCGGGACAATAGGAAGACACCACGCAGACTGGGAACTTTGGATTAAATATTGTAGCGATATTCAAAGATCTAACATGTCTCAAACAACGTAGTCAATGTAGCCCCTGACGAAGAGTGTAAGCTAGTACCAAGCCAGTATAATCGGGGCCGAAACATCCCAAGGTCCTCAACGCAACGGAGGACCCGAAGAAGTCTGTATCTTTCTCCAATATAATCGGGGCTGAAACGTCCCAAGGTCCTCAACGCAACGGAGGACCCGAAGAAGCCTGTATCTTTCGCCAATATAAAACGGGCATGCCATTCCTGTAATATCTGTAAGCCAAGATCGTCGTGTTCCTTTCCTTTCGAGCTTCTACATCCCTTTCACATTACAGAAACCGCTCTTCCTCCCACCCAACGTCGGGAGACGATTTACAACACATCAGATAACCTGCCAAGATGGCATTCGATCCTCACAATGTCGACCTGGATACAGCCGACGCCGCTCAGATTGTCTGCTACCTCAATGCCGAGGGGAACGAATACAACGGCCAACTAGGCGCGCGCGTGTCCGCCATCTTCGTGATTCTCATAGTCTCCTCAGCAGCGACCTTCTTCCCCGTGCTAGCACAACGTGCACCACGCCTGCGCATTCCGATCTACGTGTACCTCTTCGCAAAGTACTTCGGCGCCGGTGTGATCATCGCAACAGCCTTCATTCACCTTCTCGATCCCGCATATGATGAAATCGGTGGCAACTCCTGCGTCGGACTGACCGGCCACTGGGCAGATTACTCATGGTGTCCGGCAATTGTGCTGACATCATTGATGGTCGTCTTTCTCATGGACTTCGGCGCCGAGCGCTGGGTCGAGATCAAGTACGGTATTTGTCGCGAAGACCCAGAGCCCATGATGTCTAGTGGGGGTGAAGTGCGACGTGTGGACTCCCGTGCTTCGGCATCCCACTCAGGCGACAAGCAAGTCAAGGAAATTGAGTCGCAGACCCAAGAGCTGGCGATCGAGCGCTCGGTCAAGCAGCAGATTGCTGCGCTCTTGATTTTGGAGTTCGGCGTTATCTTCCACTCTGTCATTATTGGTCTCAACCTCGGTGTTGCGGGTGATGAGTTTGCTACACTTTACCCTGTCCTCGTCTTCCATCAATCGTTTGAAGGGCTTGGTATCGGGGCGCGCATGTCGAGCATCCCATTCAAGAAGGGGAGCTGGTTACCTTGGTTCTTGTGTGCAGTTTATGGGCTAACGACCCCCATTGCCATTGCTATTGGTCTTGGCCTGCGCACAACTTATAACCCTGGGTCTTTCACTGCAAATGTTGTCTCTGGTGTGCTCGACTCTATCTCCGCTGGGATCTTGCTATACACTGGTCTCGTTGAGCTGCTTGCTCGTGATTTCTTGTTTGACCCCCACCGCACCCAGGATAACAGGCGCTTGACTTTCATGGTCCTGACAATGATTCTTGGTGCTGGTATCATGGCTCTGCTCGGAAAGTGGGCTTGAGGTGGAATTGAGTTGTAGATATAGAACAGTGTGTATTCGATGACACATGGCGGGATTGTAACATGGTGAACCGTGATAATTGATATAATGTGGACATAATTGGTAGTATAATTGAGTTTCGAGACAAATAATACCCAAGGTGGGCTAGCTTTGTGACTATCTTTCATTCTTTTCATAAGTAATCTTTTCTCCCCAATCTTCGAAGGTGCAAAATGTGCTTTTCACAATCACTGGTCTACCGCTGGTTTTTAGGTCCATCTAGTGTTTAACTGTGTTACACTATATGAACACTCCAATGATTGACATGAGATATATCTTATTTTGGCTACAACTACCCCGATACATCAAAAATGGCTTAACATGGATAAGCGCTCACCCGCAACCAAATATTCTGCCATCGTATGTTGCTGTATTTGGCTGAATACATTCTAAAACTTTGCGGGTGCAAGATCAGATACACTGCCAGCCATTGGTGGCCCCTGGAAAGTATATAAGATAATACTGTTTAGTGTTAAAATATTGTTCACAAGGATATGGTGCCTTACGGACGGAATCACCTTGCCAGGGTATGAATACAGAAGAAGAGGTTTATTGGCATGTGAGAACTCGGATTGCTACGTGAAATGCAAGTAGTTTGGGTAAATAATCCACGGCGGGAAAGGTGGCACAGAATTCATTGCGGAGAGCTAAGAGCTTCATAACATCTTGCAAAGTTGTATATCAAAATTCTGTCTCGCTATTGTAGGGGAACTTGTCTTCCACTACGCATTGACCTTGTGTGTCCTTTCCATAGTTAGTTAAGTGGTCGCATTGTGTAATCCTGGAGAGATGGAGGATACAAGTAGTAGGTAGAGACAGATTGACAATACACACTCCTACACTTCTCTGAATTGACTTCTTGGGCAGCACGCCTAGGTTCCATTGTACGCACAGTTGGGTATGAAACGGGACTGCGAGTGCTGAATCCACCCGTGTGCCTTTGAGCATACAGCCTTGAGCGTTCCCCTCTTCACTATCTAATTGTAACTGGCCTGCAGGAGCGCTTTAGATAGCACGCTGATCGTATTTCTCTCCAAGTCCCTTCAAAACAACTTTCACCAAACCTTCTAATGTACCTGCTCGGTTGATTTCCACTGTGGCAATCTCCACGCCCAGTGACCTCCGCAGCCAATTCCTAACTTCTATGGCCATGAGAGAGTCTACTGCCATGCCCGCCATTGCCTCAATGTCATCTGCAGAATCTTGGCCCAGCTCCTGCGTCTGTCCTGTAAGGTTATGACTGATGAACTTGCCTAGTTCCCTCATCAAAGCGACCTCAGTCTCCTTTTTACCGGTCAGCGATGGATCCACTTGTATCTGAGCAAGGAGGACCTTTAACGCATTTGTATGAGAGGATTGATCCCCGCCAGTGCCAGAACTTGTAGACTCAAGGTTGGGATAAATCGCAAATCGAGCGTCGCGTCCACCGAGGAAGATTTCCTTGGGTAGATCGGCACGGCGCCTCGTGTGCGCGAGTCCCATTGCCATTGCCCCGCTCGCGTTAGAACCACTGACAGGGGACATGTTGATAGCTGCAGCAAGTCCATCAATCACGTCGCCTTCATGGAGCACACGCAGCGCGATTGATTGTACTCTCTGGAGGAACCGGGAGTTGCGACTTGCGGCACCCGTATCTCCAACTACCCCGAGGTGCAAGATAGAAGAAGGGAATCCCTGCTGCCGTCGATACCGGGTGAACGCTTCTAAAAATGTAGTTGCTGCAGCATAATTGGCCTGGCCAGTGTTACCACACACCCCGGCAATTGAGCCAAACACAACGAAGAAATCTAATGAATGTTGCGCTGTGGCATGATGCAAGTTCCAGGTTCCGGTGACTTTCGGGGCCAGTGCAGCTTCCCACTCCTCGTGACTCATCTGTAGGAAGAGTCGATCCTAATATAACGTCAGAGATTAGACGCCAAACACGCTGTTAGGATGAGAAAGAGAGATGAGGACTTACCTTCAAGTCAACTGCCATCTGGATGACACCAGCAAGGGGCTGAGGGCATGCCGCAACAGCTTCCTTTACATCCTTGAGGTTTGTCACGTTGCCTGGCACACAGATGACTCGGCAAGATTGTGCTTCAAGTTCGCGAATAAACGCTTGATCCTCTTCAGACTTTCCAGCTGATCGTGAGAGGAAGATGAGCTCTCGCGCATTTTGCTCGACCATCCATGTTGACACGGATCGTCCAATACCTCCGAGACCACCAATAAGTAGATACGCGGCGTCGGGTCGGAATGACGGGAATGTTCTCACAACAGGAGGAGGCAGACTGTCCACCGAGGATGGCATACGCACCAAGACTTTACCTAGGTGAGTGCCCGCCTGCATATACCGAAACGCGCTGACGATATCGACCGCCTCAAAGACTTTGACAGGTTTGATAGGTCCGATTTTCCCTTGAATATACCAGTCTGAAAATGTTGCCAGGGTGCTGCGATTGGTTAGTTAGCTTTCACTACCCGAAGGTCCAACATGGACAAACCTTCTGAGAATCCCTGGGGTCTCCTTGCAAACCTGTGCTAGATCAACACCGAAAAATGCTCGGTTAGCTTCGAAAAGGCTCATGCTGAGCATTCCATGACTTATAAAGTCACGTTTGCCCAGCTCAACCATCCGACCGAATTTCGCAACGCATTCCCACGAAGCGTGGAGTAAATTGCCCGACAAAGAATTAAGGACTAAATCAACCCCCCGTCCTCCGGTGGCACGCATCAAGTCTGGTTGGAAGGATGTATTGCGTGAGTTGAATATCCGTTCTCGAGGCAAACCGAAATTATCCATCAAATGGGCTACCTTTTTATCGTTGCCGACGGTGGCATATATCTATATTGACTGATTATTAGCTGCCAATAACCGTATTTATCACGCGAAAATTGACTGACCTCGGTTCCAACAGCCTGGCATACCTGAAGAGCAGCTAGCCCAACTCCACCGCACGCTGAGTGAATGAGAACGGACTGTTATCGTGTCAGTTACATCAATAGTCGAAGAACATAACAATGACTTGCCTGGCCCTTCTTCAAAGCACCAATCACAAGCAGTGAGTAGAGAACAGTGACATATGCTGTTAGCATCGTAGCTGCATCTGCCATTGACAACCCCTGCGGTAGCTTTATACAAGCTTCTCGAGGCACTACGATGCTTGAGGCGAGAACCCCAGAATGCATCAACATAATACGGTCTCCCACTTTGAGATCTGTCACATCGGCTCCAACTTGAAGCACAATACCACTACCCTCGAGCCCAAGATCTTCCTTATTTCCGAAAAAGCCCATTGCAACCATCATGTCCTGAAATTACTTAATTAGCAAGCTATACAAGATTTGTCTGGGGCTACGACGTACTTTGAAGTTCAGTCCCACATAGTCCATCTCAACTTCAACATGCCCCTCATTCAACTCATAGGATGCCTCTTTCTCGGCCCAGTGTAGCGTATCCAATAGTCCGTATGTAGTGAGAGTCAGTTTTCGGGACGCATCTGAGCGAGGTGGACTTGCGAGTTGCTCAACGAGAGGCGTCCAGTGGTACCGACCGACCTTAATCTCGCCCTCATGCAAGACAAACTCATACTCTGGATCGGGAAGGCAGTGCGCGCGGGATTTCTGTATTTTCTTGCACACTTGGAATATGGCCTTTGCACCCGCTATGTCCCATGTGGGAATCTCCAGAATTGAGAAATCAAGCAACAGCTCCGCCCGTAAAGTGCGGGCAAGCCCATGGACGAAGCCAAACATTGGATCCGAGCAGGCGTGAGAGGTTGATTGCGTGACCCACAGGATTTGACATTCTTGTACTTGCTCTATGTAGCGTTGGAATACCTCATAGTCATTCTTCGGCAGGGAGCCTATTGGGGATCCTTCGATATCTAGCAGAGATACGATGTATTTGCCTTTGAGTGGTGCTTGGTGCAGTGTTGTCCAGTTAGTTGTGTAGCCTTCGTTGCGGAACAGCGATTCAACATCACTCGCCCACTGGCACTGGGTAGAATTCTTTGTTAAGAGCCAGATATCGGTAGGAATGGAGACATGATCTTCCGGTCGTGTTAAAATGCTGGCGGATATATGATATGGCGGCTTTTGGTCATACGCGGTTACATCTGCTCCAGTGAAACCTGCAGCTCGTAGCTCCCGATCCCATCGCTCCGGTGAGACGTACGGTTGCTCTGCTCGACCGTCATCTTCCCCCAGCCACCAGCCGGGAAATACACCCTATGCAATACATAAGCAAAGTGGATAGTGCGGCAAGAAACAACTAACACCTACCATGGTGAAATTTGCAAGTAAGATTTCTACAGCCGAGTCAGCTCAATGCTTCAAACTTGGATATTATATCATACCTAGACTAATCTCGTGGAGCAGGAAGCGTCCGGTGGGCTTCAGAAGACAATGTACATGACAGAGTGCAGAGCGAAGATTGGGGGTGGCGTGGAGAACCTGGTGGAGAAGGTGAGTTGAATGCTGTTGGGCCGAGATATTCTAGGCAAAGACTCACATTGGAAGCGATGATCAAATCAAAGCTATGAGGATCAAATCCTTGCTCAAGGGGATTTAGGGTGATATCAAGAACTTTGTATTCCATGCACTGCTCATGAGTGAATCTATCTGCTGCTGCAGCCATGAAGCCCGAGGAGATGTCAGTAAAAACATAGTGTCCATACATACGCTCTCCACTCGTGGATTTGAGAAGTTCTAAAGTCATGGCAGTTGCAGAGCCGGTTCCTGCACCAATCTCAAGTATTCGTAGGCCCGGGTTGGAATGGCAGAGTAGCGGTAGCAATGGCTTCCAATCGGCATACTGTGTGTGCGCAGCATGGAAATTGTGCAGTAGATTGTCCTTCATGAGGACCTCCAGTGGACTGCTTTCTCCTGATGTAAACGCTACGCAGTTATCGAAGACGACCTGCAAGAAATCCGCAAGTGGAGCATCAAAGGTAAATTTAGTCTCCGCTAACACC